AGACAACCCTTTTTATATGAAAAGGGTCGTCTATTATGAAGTAAAGACGACCCTTTTTATATGAAAATGGTCGTCTATTATGAAGTAAAGACGACCTTTTTCATATAAAAAGGGTCGTCTATTATATGTAAAGACGACGGTTTTTTTATAAAAATGGTTGTCTTTACTTCATAATAGACGACCCTTTTTATATGAAAAGGATCGTCTATTATGAAGTAAAGATGACAGTTTTTTTTAAAAAGGGTCGTCTATTATGAAGTAAAGAGGACGGTTTTTTTTATACAAAGGGTCGAATATTATGAAGTAAAGACGACCCTTTTTATATGAAAATAGTCGTCTATTATGAAGTAAAGGCGACCCTTTTTATAAAAAAAGGGTCGTCTATTATATGTAAAGACGACGAGTTTTTTTATAAAAAGGGTCGTCTATTATTAAGTAAAGACGACCCTTTTTGTATGAAAAGGGTCGTCTATTATATGTAAAGATGACGGTTTGTTTTTAAAAAAGGTCGTCTGTTGTGAAGTAAAGATGACGGTTTTTTAAAAACAAGATTTAACGGTTATTTCAACTCTGATTTTGATGATTTTTTACAGCTACACTCCTTGACCCTATATGAATACAATGACTGCATTCAATCGTCAATTTAAAATATTTACACGAGTGGATACCACAAAATATTATGTTATATTTAATGAAAGTATAAATAAACTCTTAATTGTTAGTGAATATATTGTTTTGATGGCATACGCATTCTACGAAACTAGTTTCAACGATCCAACCGTCAAACTTGTTTGTTTACACATCGAGATCATATACGCCAAAAATCGGAAAAATAAATAAATCAGAGATCAAGTAACTGGACAAAACATTTCGACGGTTATAAACGAAAAATCACGATTTAACGGTTATTTCAACTCTGGTTTTGATGATTTTTTACAGCTACACTCCTTGACCCTATATGAATACAATGACTGCATTCGATCATCAATTTAAAATATTTACACTAGTGGATACCACAAAATCTTATGTTATATTTAATGAAAGTATAAATAAACTCTTAATTGTTAGTGAATATATTGTTTTGATGGCATACGCATTCTACGAAACTAGTTTCAACGATCCAACCGTCAAATTTGTTTGTTTACACTTCGAGATCATATACGCCAAAAATCGGAAAAAATAAACATTCAGAGATTAAGTAATAGGACCAAACTTTTCGACGGTTATAAACGAAAAATCACGATTTAACGGTTATTTCAACTCTGATTTTGATGATTTTTTACAGCTACACTCCTTGACCCTATATGAATACAATGACTACATTCGATCGTCAATTTAAAATATTTACACTAGTGGATACCACAAAATCTTATGTTATATTTAATAAAAGTATAAATAAACTCTTAATTGTTAGTGAATATATTGTTTTGATGGCATACGCATTCTACGAAACTAGTTTCAACGATCCAACCGTCAAATTTGTTTGTTTACACTTCAAGATCATATACGCCAAAATCGGAAAAAATAAACATTCAGAGATTAAGTAATAAGACAAAACTTTTTGACGGTTATAAACGAAAAATCACGATTTAACGGTTATTTCAACTCTGATTTTGAGGATTTTTTACAGCTACACTCCTTGACCCTATATGAATACAATGACTGCATTCGATCATGAATTTAAAATATTTACACTAGTGGATACCACAAAATCTTATGTTGTATTTAATAAAAGTATAAATAAACTCTTAATTGTTAGTGAATATATTGTTTTGATGGCATACGCATTCTACGAAACTAGTTTCAACGATCCAACCGTCAAATTTGTTTGTTTACACATCGAGATCATATACGCCAAAAATTGGAAAAAATAAACATTCAGAGATTCAGTAATAGGACAAAACTTTTTGACGGTTATAAACGAAAAATCACGATTTAACGGTTATTTCAACTCTGATTTTGATGATTTTTTACAGCTACACTCCTTGACCCTATATGAATACAATGAACCAATTCGATCGTCAATTTAAAATATTTACACTAGTGGATACCACAAAATCTTATGTTATATTTAATAAAAGTATAAATAAACTCTTAATTGTTAGTGAATATATTGTTTTGATGGCATACACATTCTACGAAACTAATTTCAACGATCCAACCTTCAAACTTGTTTGTTTACACATCGAGATCATGTGCGCCAAAAATCAGAAAGAAAAAAAAAATCAAAGATCAAGTAACGGGACAAAACATTTCGACGGTTATAAACGAAAAATCAAGATTTAACGGTTATTTTAACTCCGATTTTGATGATTTTTTACAGCTACACTCCTTGACCCTATATGAATACAATAACTCAATTTGATCTTCAATTTAAAATATTTACACTAGTGGATTCCACAAAATCTTATGTTGTATTTAATGAAAGTATAAATAAAAAAAATGTCGTCTATTTTGAAGTAAAGATGACGGTTTTTAAAAAAAAAGGGTCGTCTATTATGAAGTAAAGATGACGCTTTTTAAAAAAAAGGGTCGTCTATTGTGAAGTAAAGATGACGCTTTTTAAAAAAAAGGGTCGTCTATTGTGAAGTAAAGATGACGGTTTTTTTAAAAAAGGATCGTTTATTATGAAGTAAAGATGACGGTTTTTTTTTATAAAAAGGGTCGTCTATTATGAAGTAAAGACGACCCGTTTTATATGAAAATGGTCGTCTATTATGAAGTAAAGACGACCCTTTTTATAAAAAATGGTCGTCTATTATATGTAAAGATGACGGTTTGTTTTTAAAAAGGGTCGTCTATTGTGAAGTAAAGATGACGGTTTTTTAAAAACAAGATTTAACGGTTATTTTAACTCCGATTTTGATGATTTTTTACAGCTACACTCCTTAACCTTATATGAATACAATAACTCAATTTGATCTTCAGTTTAAAATATTTACACTAGTGGATACCACAAAATCTTATGTTGTATTTAATGAAAGTATAAATAAAAAAAAGGTCGTCTATTATGAAGTAAAGATGACGGTTTTTTAAAAAAAAGGGTCGTCTATTATGAAGTAAAGATGACGCTTTTTAAAAAAAAGAGTCGTCTATTGTGAAGTAAAGATGACGGTTTTTTTAAAAAAAATGGTCGTCTATTGTGAAGTAAAGATGACGCTGTTTAAAAAAAAGGGTCGTCTATTGTGAAGTAAAGATGACGGTTTTAAAAAAAAAAGGTCGTCTATTATATGTTAAGATGAAGGTTTTTTTTAAAAAGCGTCGTCTTTTAAAACACGCTAAAAAATGGCCGCTTAAGTGAATTCGCGCTCGACAAATTTTCAAATTTTCACCCGTCTTTGAAAACCTTATCTCTCATTAACAAGCGTCGTCTTTTAAAACACGCTAAAAAAAGGCTGCTTAAGTGAATTCGTGCTCGACAAATTTTCTGATTTTCCCCCGTCTTTGAAAACCTTATTTCTCCCTCCTTGAAACCCTCCTGCACTCTCTAAAACACCCTCATGAAACTCTCTACAAAATCATCAATAAATCGAAATCAATGAAGGAGTTGAGAGATTGAGGTCTTCACAGATCCATAAGATGTAGAGGGAGGTTCTGTATTTGAGAATCAAAGCTGGTTGAAAGGTTTGATTTGAAAGATCTCGACCTTCCCTTTCTTCAAAGAAGATCT